CACCTGGAGCGTGGTGTGCTCGCTGAAGCTGTACTGGTTGTACCCCCCCAGGTCCCCCCTGAAGTAATAACGCCCGGCCAGCTCCGGGCTCAGGGGGGGTCCCAGCTCCAGGGAACAATCCCGAATTCCCGGATCCCCCAGGAGCCGAGCGCGGCCGGAGAAGCTCTCGTGGACCCCCCCGGGCCGGGAGCGAGCGACCACGGGCGGGTAACTGCGGGGGTAGGGGCTCCCGAAAAACCAGAGCCCCTGCACCGAGCCCGGCCGCAGCTCCTCGGGGAACGAGAAGCGACACGGGATGGACACGCAGGATCCCGACAGCCCCGACACCGCCGGCGGCATCCAGGCGGCCCAGGAGGCGGCCAGGATTCCTGGGAAAACGGGGAAAAAACGGGGAAAAACGGGAAAAAATGGGTTAGGAATGGGAAAAATGGGGTTTGGGGTCAATAAAATGGGGTTTGGGGTCAAAAAAATGGGGTTTGGGGTCAAGAATGGTCTAAAAATGGGAATTTTGGGGTTCTAAAGTGGCATCCAGGCGGCCCAGGAGGCGGCCAGGATTCCTGGGAGAACGGGAAAAAACGGGAAAAGTGAGGAAAAACGGGGTTTGGGGTCAAAAAAACGGGGTTTGGGGTCAAAAAAACGGGGTTTGGGGTCAAAAAAATGGGATTTGGGGTCATAAAAACGGGATTTGGGGTCAATAAAATGGGATTTGGGTTCACTAAAACGGGATTTGGGGTCAATAAAACGGGATTTGGGGTCAATAAAACGGGATTTGGGGTCAATAAAATGGGGTTTGGGGTCAAGAATGGTCTAAAAATGGGAATTTTGGGGAGGTTTGGGGTCCTTTAGGGAATTTTTTTTGGTGATTTCGGGGCTTTGGGGATTTTTCAGGGAGTTTTTGGGGTCATTTCGGGGATTTTTTGGTTCTTTAGGGAATCCTGGGTGGTTCTGAGGGAATTTTGGGGCGATTTCGGGGAAGTTTTGGGGTTTTGGGGGAATTTTGGGGGGGATTTAGGGAATTTGGGGGGATTTCGAGGGGGAATTTTGAGGGATTTGGGGTTTTTTTGAAGGATTTTGGGGTTTTTTAGGGAATTTTGGGGCGATTTAGGAGTTTTTAGGGGATTCTTGGTGTTTTTTGGGATTTTGAGGGAATTTTTGGGGGGATTTGGGGAATTTTTGGGGGGATTTGGGGAATTTTTGGGGGGATTTTTTTGATTTATTTTGGATTTTTTGGGGTTGTTTCGGGGGTTTTGGGGTCCCTTTGAGGACATTAAAGGAGGATTTGGGGCTCCCAGTCCCTCCCAGTCCCTCCCAGTGCCCCCAGCCCCCAAACCAGTAAGGAAAAGGCCCAAACCAGTAAGGAAAAGGCCCAAACCAGTATAAACCAGTAAGCCCCGAGCCCCTCCCAGTACCTGGCGGCAGCAGCAGCAGCAGCAGCAGCGGCCGGGGGCTCATGGTGGCACTGGGGGGGACACGGGGGTCACTCCAGTCCCTCCCAGTATCCCCCAGTGCCTCCCAGTATCCCCCAGTGTCACCTCCCAGTGCCTCCCAGTCCCTTCCCAGTGCTCCCAGTGTCACTGTCCCCCCGTCCCAGTGCTCCCAGTCCCCCCAATCCCCCCCAGTGGCTCCCAGTACCTCCCAGTTCCCTCCCAGTACATCCCAGTGCTCCCAGTTCCCCCCAAATCTCCTCCCAGTTGCTCCCAGTGGCTCCCAGTACCTCCCAGTTCCCTCCCAGTTGCTCCCAGTAACTCTCGATGTCACTGTCCCCAGTCCCCCAATCCCCCCCAGTTCCTTCCCAGTACCTCCCAGTGCTCCCAGTATCGCTGTCCCTCCTGTCCCAGTGCTCCCAGTTCCCCCCCAGTTCCCTCCCAGTGATCCCAGTATCGCTGTCCCCGCTGTCCCCAGTGGCTCCCAGTACCTCCCAGTGCTCCCACTATCGCTGTCCCCGCTGTCCCCAGTGGCTCCCAGTACCTCCCAGTGCTCCCACTATCGCTGTCCCCGCTGTCCCCAGTGGCTCCCAGTACCTCCCAGTGCTCCCACTATCGCTGTCCCCGCTGTCCCCAGTGGCTCCCAGTACCTCCCAGTGCTCCCACTATCGCTGTCCCCGCTGTCCCCAGTGGCTCCCAGTACCTCCCAGTGCTCCCACTATCGCTGTCCCCGCTGTCCCCAGTGGCTCCCAGTACCTCCCAGTGCTCCCACTATCGCTGTCCCCGCTGTCCCCAGTGGCTCCCAGTACCTCCCAGTGCTCCCACTATCGCTGTCCCCGCTGTCCCCAGTGGCTCCCAGTACCTCCCAGTGCTCCCACTATCGCTGTCCCCGCTGTCCCCAGTGGCTCCCAGTACCTCCCAGTTCCCTCCCAGTTGCTCCCAGTAACTCTCGATGTCACTGTCCCCAGTCCCCCAATCCCCCCCAGTTCCTTCCCAGTCCCTCCCAGTGCTCCCAGTATCGCTGTCCCTGCTGTCCCAGTGCTCCCAGTCCCCCCCAGTTCCCCCCAGTTCCCTCCCAGTACCTCCCAGTGCTCCCAGTATCGCTGTCCCCGCTGTCCCCAGTGGATCCCAGTGGCTCCCAGTGCTCCCAGTACCTCCCAGTGCTCCCAGTATCGCTGTCCCCGCTGTCCCAGTGCTCCCAGTCCCCCCCAGTTCCCCCCAGTTCCCTCCCAGTACCTCCCAGTGCTCCCAGTATCGCTGTCCCCGCTGTCCCCAGTGGATCCCAGTGGCTCCCAGTGCTCCCAGTACCTCCCAGTGCTCCCAGTATCGCTGTCCCCGCTGTCCCAGTGCTCCCAGTCCCCCCCAGTTCCCCCCAGTTCCCTCCCAGTACCTCCCAGTGCTCCCAGTATCGCTGTCCCCGCTGTCCCCAGTGGATCCCAGTGGCTCCCAGTGCTCCCAGTACCTCCCAGTGCTCCCAGTATCGCTGTCCCCGCTGTCCCAGTGCTCCCAGTCCCCCCCAGTTCCCCCCAGTTCCCTCCCAGTACCTCCCAGTGCTCCCAGTATCGCTGTCCCCGCTGTCCCCAGTGGATCCCAGTGGCTCCCAGTGCTCCCAGTACCTCCCAGTGCTCCCAGTATCGCTGTCCCCGCTGTCCCAGTGCTCCCAGTCCCCCCCAGTTCCCCCCAGTTCCCTCCCAGTACCTCCCAGTGCTCCCAGTATCGCTGTCCCCGCTGTCCCCAGTGGATCCCAGTGGCTCCCAGTGCTCCCAGTACCTCCCAGTGCTCCCAGTATCGCTGTCCCCGCTGTCCCAGTGCTCCCAGTCCCCCCCAGTTCCCCCCAGTTCCCTCCCAGTACCTCCCAGTGCTCCCAGTATCGCTGTCCCCGCTGTCCCCAGTGGATCCCAGTGGCTCCCAGTGCTCCC